TTTGCGATTATATATACGATAGTTGCGTTGTTATCTAGTCAAAAGAATTTGATGTGAGTGTGTTTCCATTCAGAGATTTACTCTTCCGGCCATTATAAATACTTTTTTTTTATGTTTACGACTGATAAATAGAAATTTATTATTAAACTTATTATTAAAGAAACGATATGTGCACATATATAGCAACAATTTTGTGTACATTATATTCAGGATACAATATACATATATATGATTATATTCAGAATAAAAAGAACATAATTCAGAAATATTGTTTATATTGTTGCAATTGTTCAATTTTTCAAACTTATGACAATTGTTAGAGAAACATTTGAATAATTGGTTCGACTATATGTATGTATAAGTGGATTTGAAATTTTTATTAAAACGATAGTATAATATAAATATGTAAGTACAAAGCACATGTAGATATATTGTATCAGTAAGCTATGTATATAAAATGTATATATTTCTCTCTCTCTTTCTCTCTCTCTCTCTCTCTCTCTCTCTCTCTCTTTCTCTCTCTCTCTCTTTCTCTCTCTCTATATCTATATATATAAATTTAGTTAATTCCTACAATTCTTTTACGTTTTGCTTTACTTTCTCGTTCTTCTTCTTTCTCTTATACTTTTTATTTAATCTATCTTTGTATTATAGCATACACCATACCCCTGATTGATGATGACGAGATTAATCATGCCGATGAATTGTCCGAGGAGTACTTAAATTGCACTGAAATCTTCGACCACTCATATGGAAGACTTAACAATTACTACCGTCTATAAAAATTTTATGTAACCTTTTTTTTTTTTTAACGTATTTACAATTCTACCTCGACTCAGATTAAATGAGTACTCGAGTGATATTAATTCACTGAAAAACTCCTTTTCTTATTCGTCTTCCCTTTTTATTATTGACAATAAACTGCTAGACGTTTTAATCTTTTTTGTTCAAGTTATCATTGCCGGTTCCAATTTTAAACTAATAAAGAAGTTTTCCCGATCCTCCCTATATCGATTCTTCAATAAAAATTCCTTCGTGAACGAATGCACCGGATATTCGTATCCTTGAGCTCGTTTCTGACAATCCGACAACCAAGTCGCAACTTCGATCACGCGTTTCATCCTTGGATCCATATCCCTTAATCTCTTCTGCTCTGTGATACGAATTTTACTCTTTAAAACAGCGTTGTACCAACGATAGAAATATTTCCACGCTAAATCCTGTTGCCTCGTCGTCCACGTTAAATCTGTCTTTTCCTCGTAAATCGTATTTTGATTCCTTTTATATTTTATCCTGTTTAAAACGGAATTGAGGAAATTCTTGCTACAGCCTTGCTTTTGTTTCAGGTCCCGATTACTTTCCAATGATACATCCTTATCTCTGTTAGACGTTGCAGCTAAATCCTTTGAGGGGTTTATTCTATCATTCGTATGGATAATACTATTGTCTTGTTGATGGCATTTCGCATTATTTAATTGCAGAAGTCTCAGCAAAAGGTCACCCACGTGCGGCATGCAAGGTCGATTCTTTTCAACTTTAGCCCAAGATCGTCGGTATGATAAAGCACACGGGTTCTTGTAAATCTTGCAAAGTCTTTCCATAACTTCGTATCTAAATCATCAAAACATTTAATTGAACAGACAGAAGTGTTTGTAACAAAGTAAGATAATTATTTAGGTACACGATGTTGGCGTGTATGTACCTATTCGCATGATGAATACGTAAGTAATCCCATGTAGTTCGCAATCTGAAAATCGGAGGCGACTGCAATCCCGCCAAAATCGATCTGCACGAGTGAAAATTCCCCATAGCGAGGCACTTTTTGGCAGCGTTCACGAGTCTCGCGACAATTCTACTTCTCATGGGTAATTTTCTCACGCCCAAAATTTCACTGCCAATTAGACAAGAAACGCGATGACTGAATGCTATCCACGCTGCTAAATTAGGCGCGTTCCTGGAGCTCCTTTGAAAGACCAAGATCTCGATCTCCTCGGCGGGAATTCGAACGAAGAGGTCGCGATCTATGAGCGTTAGCTGGGTCGCCAAAATGTCGCTGTTTATATCCCAAATTGTTATTCTGAAGTCCATTCTCAATAATCTTCTTAATTGAACAGTAGTATTATTTTCCTGGTTTTCGAATTTCTGCCTTCTCTTCGATCCATTTCCAGAGAAGATTCGTTCTAGGAAACTGGGTTTTTCCTCAGGAGCAATGGTAGAATCATCTTCGCACTGACACTTTTTTCTTCTCCTAAACAACTTCCTCCTGGTCGGCCGTTCCTTCTCCTGGCGAAAATTTCTCAGATGGTTCAAGTGCAGTCTCAGCTCCCTGTCGCAATACAATTAACACGTTCAACGCGATGACGATCACCGGTGACCGATAAAAGGCTTTTCGTCCCGTGACGTCGCTAATTGTCGTATGATGAATACATAAAATACACATGACTGTGGATATTTATGAAAATTTATATCTTTATAGATATGACCAAGGAAGTGGAACTTAAGCACAAAATTTGTTTCGCCTATCAAATACCACGACGAGTACTCTACTTTGCACATTTTACGTATTTTTGCATAAATGCATAAAAATTCGTGGTCTCTAATAATAGTACAAAATTCATTATGTATCTTATTATCCATTTTAATTTAAAATAATACGAACCGCGTGAGCGCAGAGGCATCTGATATAGACCTCGCGGTAAGCGTGTTGATAAGATGGATTTTCTAATTCAATATTTTCTTTAGTTACTACCTGTAAGCGGCGGAAGCAGGTCTGGGTCGGTACCAGTATTCTGGTGTCCAAAATAACACAACTCGTCCCTTCGCAGTAGTGCCGATCGACCCAAATCTACCAGACTGAAGTTCGGTATATGAAATACTAGCTGCCAATTGTCGACGAGATACAGGAAGTTTCAGTTCCGACTCGACGGGCTGTCGACGAATAGTGACCAGACTGAAAGATCGTCGACCTTGAAGAGTAGTACGTTCTCCAGGTTGTACCGACCAGGGACCAAGGGCGTAAAGAAAATGGGGTGCAGTACAGAGACCGTATCTCCTAAAATGTTTGCAATGTTTCAAGGACTCGCCTCTTTCACCTCTTTCTTTGCCCTCCCACACCTTCACAGCATTCTCCATGAGGACGTAAATATTTTGCACGGTGAATTGCAAAGGGAAGCATTCGGGATCCGTTTGGATTGGACCCAGAACCAACCCTGAATGACACTTCTCTGGAACTCCAAAACCAAATCGAGATATCCTTCGCGCGAGACATTTCTTCTGACTCCTCGACTCTTCTTCTTTCGCGAACGCTTCGTTGTACCAAACGTTCCGTTTCTCCCTGACTTTGTCTTCGAAGATCTTGGCTTGCAAATTACGAGGACAAGTCTGACAGGTCGCGTAGAATTTGGTCTTATTGTAATATTTGCGATTGTGATCTCTGACAAACAGTACGTCGCAAAGACCATCGTTCTTGCGTCTCTCTGCGAAGCAACGACACGTAGGCCAGCTACGAGACCCTTTCTCGATCTTGCTCGGAGAAAAATCTTTTAATTCGGCCTTAATGTCTTCCAAACTGGCGCCGGCGAATCTTATAGGAACAGGTGTGTACTGACCGTCTACCAGCTCGCTGTAGGATGGTCCGAGGTATAAGTCCTTATGACGCCAGGTTGCAGGTGTATAATCACCGGCGCCTCCATAGTGAGTCCATATTCTGTATCCAATTATAGAATGTATTACAATGAAGATTTCTTACAAATGGATAAACATCAAGTAACGAAAGAATCACCTGCACACTGCTCTTCTTCCATCTTTTCTGAGATCATTGCGAAGCTCGATCTCCGAAGAAAGGATGTATAAAGTCGAGCTGCTCGCTGAACTTGCAGCGGTCGTTTCCGATAACGAGCTTCCGTTTGTCTTGTTTGCCAGCAAACTTTCGACTTGCTCGCACCATTTCTTCCAGAAAATGTTTCTTCCTTGTATACCGCCGAGTTCGTAATAGCTTACTCTTCCATCGATGAATCTAATGATATTAGTAGCGGTCAAAGCGCTATTTAATAAGTATCATCTCGTTAGGAAAAGTAGAGAAAGTTGTGAAAGCAGTTCATTTGTATCGAGCATCTCTATTTCATGACTTTTTATTTTTCAGTAAATTTCTACCTTGCCTTCAGGGTTTTGCGATGTCTCCTGTTGAACACGCTCAGACTAACGCATCGTAGAGGATATAGAGAAATCAGTTCGAAGCTCTCGATGGTAGGATCGAGGGTGCGCGGACAGAAAAACCGCGAGTTTCCTTTGAACACGTCAGCAGCCACGATTAACTTGGATGGCGTGAGACCAAGTGAAACTTGTCGAATTCCATGACCGTTTCTGGTGGTTTCGGCAAACGGAGATTCCACGAGGACGACGTCGGAGAAATCAGAGTACTCGGAAGCCAATAACTTTTGAATTCTGTTCTGTTCTTGCTGCAAGTTTCTCGTTCGATGACGAGATCTGGTTTTACATGCTGGTTGCATAGAGCCGAATTTTTTTTTAAAAGAACGCAAAAGGTAGAATTGTTTAAACGAGTCATCTACGAGATTCAGCACGGCCTTTACATTTTCTTGAAAGGATGTCCGATTAGTACGACTTCGTTCACAATAGGTTAATCACTTCTGAACGAATCTGTTATCACGACGTAATTTCTGTCAGGGGGAGTTTGTAATTGTGCCAAATTCCGATAGACCAATAGAATCGGAAGCTTGAAGTTGTATAAAAGTGGAGTAATCGGAAGATTATCAACGTTCAGCCACAATAAAACCTTGGTTATCTGAACTAATGAATATTTGAACCAATTACATTCTATTTGCATAGCGAAACAGGCATGTTTTTGTATTCCTTTTTGCGAATGATCGTGTCTTTCTCTGACCAATGTCTGGACAATCGAGGTTTTACTGTTTTTATCATTTTTGTATAGTAATAGGATTATTTTACTAGGGGGGAAAAAATGTAGAAACGATCTAGTTCCATTAGGTATTATCGTCTTTATTTTTCAGTTCGACGACTCCATCGAGTCTCACGACCTGTACATTAGTCGGCGACGGAGGGAACTCTGTTTAAAGACTCGGGCCTACGTGGTAAAAGGTGTCGCGGCGCCTGTCATTTCGGTTAATTAAGGGTACTTTAGCCGTTTCTTATTCCTTAGACGCTATAATACGATAATAAATAACATATAAAAAAAGACATACAGGTAAAAGACGTAAAAAAGAAGCTCACCAATAGGGGGAGCGCTCTTTCATCTAGAATAAAAAGTCGATGTAAGTTCAAAGAGCGTGCAAAAATGTACAAAGTGGCAGAGGTACATGGTGGACTCCTAAAACGGTTCGTTTCGACTTTTTTCTTTTTTTTTTCTTTTTTTGCTTTTTTTCTTTTATGAACGGAAGCTAACTCTTTATCGATTATTATGTTCGGGGTTCACTTTGATGGTGACTTTGTTGTTGAGAGCGGACGCGAGCTTCTCGACGTTGCTCTGTGGCAACTTTCCCGGTTCCGAGTTCGTTGTCTCGTTGTTGGACACCGCTGTGTTTTCAGGGATTGGCTTAATACTTGGCTGTGCCTCCTGAAACAAAACAAACCATTGTTTTTACGAAGTTTGTTCACGTTTTACTTAGTTAACTTTACGAAGTTACTTCACGTTTCTGTAACGTGTTCTTCGTCGCTTTGTAATCACATCTGTTAACGTCAAACGTACAATTAACGTAATTTGTACCTCTATCGTCTGTTGTTTTGTGGCTGGCGACTTAATTGACTACCTACACTAAGCATCGCGCTTATCAGCCAAACGACATAATGACATTTTACATGTTTCGACCTTCGTTTACCTTTCGAAATTGATAAAACAAAAATTCCACTCACCCCGTCAGTCTTTCTTCTTAAGTTCGATCTTTGTAACGTTGCAGCCAATTCGTTCTGCAATCTCGACACCACTGGCCCATTCGCCAATTCATCCGTGCCGTTTCTATCTGATCGAGACTGCTGCGACAGGAAGTCGAGCTTAGACGGTTGTTTAGCTTCCCCTTCGTAGGCGCCTATCCTAATGGCGACTTTTCCAGGGGCTGGTTTCAAGTTCGGTGCGTTTGCAGCTGCCGGAGATACGGCTGCTTTTGTCATTTCCGGCACGGGACTCGGCGACGTTTCCTTTCCATTCACCTGTGGCTTGTTTCCGGTACCGTGTCGAGGACTTCCGTTCGACGTGACCGTAGAATTATTTTGTATGGGGAAGTAAGTTGGCGGTGGCTTTGGAATCACTGGGTTTGGAGCCTCTTTCAACTTAAATGACTCTATGCTTTGCATCTCCACGGAATCCTCGGCGCTTTTGGTCTTCGAAAGAAGAGGAAGCGGGGGTGGAGCCGGTGGTGCTGGAGGCGCTACAGGCGCTACAGGCGCCGGAGGTGCTGGAGGTGCTGGTGGTGCTGGAGGCGCCGGCGGTATATTGTTTGTCGGCACTGTCGACGTGTTCAATACCCTTTTTTCTTGCTCCTGGTGACAGTTTAATGAGATTAAGATAAGCAATGACAAATTTAGGAATTTATACAGCGCAAAAAGAAGTCGAACGATACATATTTAATTTTATAGATACTATGTTTTAATCTATTCAATCTACCGAAGGTTGTTTCGGAATTTAGTTAAGATTATGAACGTATATATTTAATTTTTTCCACTTTAGGTATTCTAGACGATTCTTCGTTCAAAAATGTAGATTCAATGCTAATCGGTCAGATAAACTTGATAACTAACATTGTAAGGCGTAATAGTAACCAACACGCGACTCCTCCGTTCACCGTTGCTCAGCAAACCGTTCATGTCTTCGGTTTCAAAAGCCTAGCATTTTTCCTTCGATTAACTTTCCTTCGCTAGTAGCAACAGCCGTGGCAGCGGCGCATAACGGTTCAATTTCAACCGTCTTTTTGTAAATCACTTCCGACTCCGTTAACGAACAGCCTTTCGAAGAGCACTCGCACACGGTCGTGGAACTCGAGGTCGCGACGAGAACTAATCTTCGTTGTCGTCGTCGTCGGTACTTTTCGCGAATTACCAGCTGCGGCGTAACGCCAAGTGCGGCACCGCTTTTTCGTTAATCACAAGCGAACCGCATTTCGCGGTGTTCCGCAGCACCTTGAAACCAATCGCACGCCACGATTCGAGTCGGTTGAAAACAGTCACGAGCGTAACTCGCGCTCTTATGTAAGCTCTATTATTTTACACGTTGCAATTCGAAGGAAATCAACGTGCAACCGACGACCAACATAAGGAAAAATCCTTGCGACAGACGATCGCGTCCACTTGTGTTCGAACGAGCCGGCCACCAACGATCCACTGTTCCGCTACCGTCGAACGTCCGTTTAACAGCACCGATCACCCGCCGATAAGTCGATTATGTAATGAGTCATCGATTCTACGATAATTCACGCGTTTCTAGGAAGCGCAGAAACGTCGCGAGGTAGTAATAATTCACTCGAGTCTTTCTACAGGGAAATTGTTGTAGAGGACAATCGATGATCGGTCGATTAGTAGATCGTTAATTAGCGGAATCGTTGCAGCGAACAAAGCCGATTTAGAAAGCACTAGCTGCTTCCCCCGCACGAATACTTCTATCGTATCGTAATCAGTTGTCAGGCTTAATTAGCTAACCGCGATTCAATTAAGGGCGTGATTTAGTATTGCCCGGCCGCGAAACGACTAGTACGGATCCAGTGTTCGTATCGCGCGGCAGATTCAGCCGGACTGAGAACAGAACGGTGAGACTTACGTGACTGTAAGAGAGGAAGATCGGTCTCTATATCGCCGCCGGTCGTCAGTTCGAACGATACGCGAGTGTATAACAGTTAATAAACGCAGCTTGTACATAAATTCAGGTGCAGCTGAGCGTATTGCGCTGCACACACGTTCAGTGTGTTTCGAGACTCGTGCAGACAATGACTGGCTGCGAAGTCTTCGTAATCTTGAGACTCGTTATCTATTTACTTTGGCAGATCTTCGGGAAGAAGGTTGTGTAATTAAAAACGACGCAAGAGAGCACGGTATAGCGTATCGTCTCGAGAATTGGAAGAATACGTCCCGAAACCACGTTATTTGCTTTGTTCCGCGTATTTTTCTCCAAACTTCCCCCGGTTACCGCCTTCTTTTTGTATCAATATTTAATTTCCACGCTCGGTTGCCAAGCAGCGTATTACAAGTATATCGCCGAGATACATACATTTCCATCGCGAATTCATTTTCAAGAGTAGCTAATAGGATTTTTAATTAACCGCATACGTGTATGTCCTTAGTTCCGCTCTTTCCATCGTGCGATACGTACGAGGAGTATCGTCCTCCCTGCTCCCCCTTCCTTTGATTAGTTCGCGATCGCAACCGAGAAATTTTATTCTAGACTTGAAGTCTTTTCGTGTAATCAGAAGCTGTAACGTCTTCCTCGTCGAAGAAAGGAAACGGTGAAAGTACTAAACGTTGTACTTGAACGGCGTGCATTACGCGTACGATTATAATAGAAACTTTAATAAAAAAGAAATTTCTCCATCTATACAATTTTTCTTCTACTTTTACTTCTTTTACACCGGTCACTTAATTATCTTAAATCTTCCTTTGCCATTCAATTAATAATATCAGAAACGAAATCGTTCGAAAAAGTATGTAACTAAGGTATAGTAGATGTTGCTATAAGATATATTCTAATTATCGCAATAAAAGAAACAAAACAGTCACGTTCACGCAAATATCACGAGGTTATTAGATAAATCAAGGAAAATCACGTATTCAAGTATACAAGTAGATCGTTCATGTACCGCAAAGATAAGCTTATCATTTTCTTACCTGCTCCGGCGCCTGATCGGAGAAATGAACTTTTTGCTGAGCGCTGTTGAACATCTTTCGATGGGCACGCTTGAACTCCTCCATTAGCTGTAAACAATTTAATACGTGTGTTATCGCGTCTTTACTGTTCCTTTATTATTAATATTATTCCTCTGACCGAAGATTAAGCACCGAACTTGATCGATCGAGAACAAAGAGGTCACACGGTAAAATTTACGGCGCGCTCAATGCGCGTTCGGTCGCAAACTGAACTCGCGAAACGCGTACGAGCGAGCTGCGCGTCTGTGAATCGTCGTTCGAACGCTCATCTACGAAAGTTCGATCGTTTGCAACATCGCGCTGTAATTTTTAATTAGGCTGACTCTCTACTCGTTATCGACGTACAAACGCTTTTCAGTATCTGCACGGCGTATTAATCGCTCCTTTTATTTCTTCTGCACTTATTAACGAGCGTTTCTCCTTTATCTATCGAGAAAAACAATCCTTGGTCGAATCGTTTCGTTTTCATCGCCGATCTAACACCGATTAGATTTTTACGAGATTAGATCGTTCACCCATCGAACGAGAGATCAACCGGTCGTAATTTCAATTTCAACGTTTTACGACGTAGCGAGTGAATGAACTTTTCGTCTGTTAAGTGTAACTGACAAGAGTTAGGATGTCACGGGAGGAATCGTGTGGGTGTTCGCGATACGAGAATCAGGCTCTCGTACGAGGCGAGTGAACGCGTGATACGAATGCTCAACTTACGAGTACAGCGACGTTATGAATGCACTGGTATCCTGCAATTCGACGGAGTCTAGTTAAAGTTCAAAAGTCGCGCGGTAAAAGATCGTTGAATTCATCGGAATTCTATTGTCTTGGATCGTACACTTGAACCAATTTCGACGTTTATGTTATATCATGCTACGATATGTAGATTTAAGAAAAATCAAACAAAGATTAACGGAACGTTGCTCTTATCGCAGTTTGTGTAAGATCACAAATATTGGCTACCTTATCGTGCGTAACTTTCTGTTCTTGCGCCCTCAGAGCTTCCGGGTTTTGTGGCTTCCGCGGCTCCGCAGTTTTCTCCTTTCCTGCTTCCATTTTCGCGGCGTTGTTCATGTTCCTCTGAAAGAGACGATGCATTAAATACGCTTACACATCACGATCGCCTATAAATATACCATCGGTAATCAATATTTCGTGACGCAATATTTGATCGATTCAGAATTAGTCACACTGCGAGAAAGTCTCGATCGAGTTAGACGGAACGAGTGATAAGCGATTTGTCGACGATAAGGAATCTACATGCGTAACTCGGTTGTCCAAGGAACAGAACGTCCCTTATGATGAACGAAACCTTACTAATGTTACTATTATCGCCACCATGGACACACGTTGAAAGAACCAAAATCTTATCTATTGGGAAGAAAAGAAATTATCTTTGCAGATGACGCACGAGATATCGCAAAGTGTAAAAAAAAATTACCCATTCTAAAATAGAGACACAAGTATAAATTTCCATATAATATAGCTTGTTGATTATTACAATTTTTGTTGCTATACGACAAAAGTAAATTATTTACTAAGCATGAATTATTTACTTACTTTATATCGAAATTTATAATCGTGAAATAATCAGACTTCTTTATTGTTTATTGTTACCTGTTTGACATAATTATTTTAATCTTCGATCCGATAAGATCGTATGTGCAATATGAGTCATCGGTCGCAAGAAAAATGCCACGTTTATAAAATAATACCGGCATTGAACGGTGATCTAAATTCCAATTGAAACAACAAAAATATTGCCGCGCCAGATAGGCGCCACTCTCGCCACAAAGACTCCGAAGGCGAGAAAAATCCAAAGAATCTCCACGGAGAATCGGTCGATATAAAAATCCAAATTCCGGTAACACGCCCGGTAATGCGCATAAACAAGCAGGTAATGCGATCCAAGCGGCGTATAGGTTTCGCGAAGAGGAAAAGTCGCGGCTCTCCTACCTGCTGCGCCCGCCTCTGCAATTCCTGAGTGATGGCAGTGCTTAGATCGGTGCAGGCTATCGGCGATGTCCTTGTGGCGCAATTGCGGGGCGTTGCGGTGGCCGCGGTGGCCGCGGTGTCATTGGTTTTATTGGTCCCGGTCGAGGTGGCAGTGATCGAGCCGAACGAAACTGTCGACGGTGGCTCGCAAGAGGACGTCGATAAGGACGAAGAAGTCGAAGCGGAGTCCTTGCTGCAGGAAGACTCGA